GCACACGAAGTGTAGGGTGTAGTATGAGTACAATCAACTCAGTAAGTAACAATAATAAATAAAGAACTCAAAGTAGTGACGAGCTTCTCAGCTAAGTCCAATTACAGTACTTTTCAACATAAAAGGGGAGGCATGCTTTCAAGTTCAACATTTAAAACTCCACAGTAATTTCATATCAACTTCGACTGAAACAGAAGAGAATGTCTTTTAGAAATTTTTCCAAATCAGTGATATATGACAGTTGAAATGTAGCAATAATGAAATAAATGCATCCTCTCATAGCAACATTCACTCAGTCCTCCCATTCACTCCAACCTCACAGTCACTCTTTCCTCGTAGTCACTCGGCACTCGCATTCAGTAGGTACCTGCACTCACTAGGGGATGTACAGACTGCGGAGGGGCTCCTTCAGCCCAAGCGCTATATCAAGCCAATCAAGGCATATAACAATAAAATATGTTACGGCGTGCAGCCCGATCCCATAAATATCATCACAATTAGGTCCTCGGCCTCACTCGGTAATCAACCTCTCCAGTCTCTCGGGCTCAAGATGTCATGAAAACCAGCCCAAAAATGATAATATGATGCATCGATAAATAACAACAGAGACTGAGATATGATATGAAATGAATGAACATGACTGAGTGTGAAATTACAATTTGAACATATAATTCAACCACAGAAATGACCCCAGCATGTGTACCAATAATAACAACATATGTCTAAGCATGATTTTTAATATGATTCTCAGCTTAATTTTCTCTAACACGTAGATAATGTACTGATATCAACAGATTATTCAACTACACAGTTCCATGAAATTTGACCAAGTCACAATTTCTATGGTGCACGCCCACACGCATGTCACCTAGCATGTGCATCACCTCAAAAACAATCACATAACACATAATCCGGGGTTTCATACCCTCAGGACCAAATTTAGAACTGTTGCTTACCTCAAACCGTGAAATTCTTTATTCCGCTATGCCCTTGCCACGAGAATTGGTCTCCGAAAGCCTCGTATCTAGCCACAATTAATTCGATTCAGTCAATACTAATTGTAATTAATTCTATAAGAAAATATAAATTTTCCAATAAAAATTTAAAATTCACTCAAAAATCGCTCGTGGGGCCCACGTCTCAGAACTCGACAAAAGTTATAAAATATGAACGCACATCCAACCACGAGTCCAACCATATAAATTTCACCAAATTCTGACATCAACTCGACCATCAAATCTTCAATTAAAGTTTTTGAAGATTTATACTAGTTTCAATCCAATCTTTACCCATTTGAACTCAATAATGTTTCCATAAACCTTATTGGTATGTGTATGTATAAATAATACTCTAACACCCAATAGTCATACTCTTAATTACTCATCTTTATCCAAACTCGAAATTGAAGACTAGGGGTTAGAACCTTACCTCTTGGGTGAAGATCTTGTGATATTTCCTTGTTGGATTTCAAAACTTGAACAAGATCTTGATGAACAAAACACTTGAGCTTCTTCCTCTCTCTAGAACACTCTCCTTTCTCTCTAAAAATATCAGATTTTGGCTCAAAAATGAGCTTCAAGGGCTATAAATAGAAGTTGGGTTGGGTTATAAAAATCCAAAAATGAAGCTCCGGACAGGATATGCGGTCCGCATATCGGCCGCACAATTAACCTCCAGAACTGGGAAGAACCTGCATGGGTTTTCGGTTACTATGCGGCTCGCAGACCTATTCTGCGGTCGCATAATGAACCGCAAAACAGTTATGCGGTCGCGTAGTCGACCGCAGAATGGCATCCAAAACGGCCTCTTACCTGCCTCACTATGCGGCCATTATGCGGTCCGCAGAGTGATTTTTCTATAACCTTTGTACTAATTGATCTACCTCGGCACTACATAACCTTAAAAATTCTCCGAGGTCGTTACACATAAGTCCACATCCGATCAACCTTTTCAACTTAAATTCTAAACCTTGGAACTAAGTGTTCCACATCATTATAAAACCTCACTGGACCCGAACCAATTACCCCCGGCAAGTCAAATAACAAACGTATATCACAATTTGAGCAGTAAATGGGGGAACGGGATTGTAATACTCAAAATGACCGGTCGGGTCGTTACATTTGGCTTGTATTAGAGGTGAAATTCAGAATTACTAATGTGGATATAGTTTTCTAAAATGGGTTTAGTGAACTTAATTTGTAATAAATGGTTATAGAAATTAAAATTAACTAAGAATGCGGCTAATGATCACAAGGACAAAATTACTCCAAGGCATATGCTAATAACTATGAAGAAGAGTGATGAACCGAATAAGCCTTTTGCTATTATATTGTTACTGTTGCACATCATACTGTTCATCCAAATATCAATCCCATTAGATGCCCAAGAAGACTTTTTTTATGACAATCAAAATATTTGTAATATTTATTATGCATGAATTAACCGAAATGTATGTTGCTTATGAGTATTTTTTTTTTTTCAATATTGAAGATATTGGATTGCTTATCATTTCATAGATTGATATTCTTTTATGATTGCGCGAAGCGCATACATATTCACTAGTATTATTGTATTTTAAAACTCCGCTTACATAAGTTCCTAACAGCTTATTTGGTTGTTGCCTGTTGTATTGTATCGTATTATTATTTTAAATATAATATTTTAATTATTACTTAAACTGTATTGTATCGTATTGTTAAATTTGTCGTTACGTAACGACAAAAAGTGTCACTTTATGGAGCGACCGATTTGGTGTGGTCGCACCGTTTCCTTTTTTTTTTTTCCTCATATTGTCCTTCCTTATTATTAAATAATCTTATTTTATCTTTTACCCTACCTTCTTATATAATAATTTTACCCCGCACCTTTCTTTTTTTAAATAATATTCCAAGTTTATTCTTCATATTGTTGGTGAATGACAACATGAAATGACGACAAACAATACAATCCATCCAAACATTATATACATCAAAACGATACAATACAATACGATACGATACATTATGAAATGATACATAAAAACCATTCAAACAAGTTGTGTAACTTCTCTCAAGTTTTGATAAAAGCGACTATTACTGAAAGATGACAACCCGGTGCACAAAGTATCCCATATTTATGCAGAATTTGAAAAATGACCGCATCCTAGGGGTACGATATAGATAACATACCCTAATGCAAGCAGTCTATGATACTGAATTAGTACAGATTTAATTTTAATAACTAGGGTATGACATAATGAATATATAGGATTTATATATTCGACTACAACTAATTTAGAATTGGTATTTTTGATATTGAGATAGTTGATTGATTGAGATTTGAGACGTAGGGTTAACAACTTGGTTTCAAATTTGAATTCTAGCTACACAATTTAATGCAAGTCCTTCTAATCTAAGTTTGGTGTGTATGTTGACTCACTAATTGTGTTTGTGTAATGTAAAAAGATGTTTAATGAATTAATAAAATAAGTTTGTTTGAATATCGCTATCATTTAAATAAAAAACATAGAATGAGACATAATTTATTAGTATTTCCAAGTGCGTCAATATTTTCTATTATGGGACGTCTCAAAAAATTTGATATCAATCTTTTAATTGTATTAATTTTACAATGTTCCTAAGTATATATTATTCAATTTCTATTTAACTAGTCAAAAATGTTTAATGTGTTCTCTTTTAAAATTAATTTTTAACTAAAAATGAAATAAGTGAGGTTAGGACGGAGATATGTTATCATTTGAGAAGGAAGAGGAGTGCAAATAACGTGACTCTACCTCCAACAAACAACTAGCAAAAGGTTTTCTTTTTCTTTAATTTTTTTCACATCACATAGGGAAATAGAAAAAAAGGCAATGAAATTCGAACCTAACTTATTATAAGTTTATTAGGGGGCGCGCAGGGGCGTTTATTAGGGGGCGCGCAGGGGCGAGTTTTGTGCAATTATTACGGATATACATGAATTCAGTAATTTTTACCTAGATCCTGCAATTACGTTAACTATATAAGAATATTTAGTTTGAAAATTATATGTTAGTCTGATTATTATTGTATATTAACTTAAGATTATTTATATGAACAATAAACTTAAAATAATAGATCTGTTTTGAGGTACACAAGAAGTGGTTCACCAACCTCCACACCTCACGCTTCTCTTTTCAGTTTCATCTCATACAATATTTATTTAAGTTTATGAATTTAGGGTGTATTTGATATAAAGATAAATCTAAATCACTTTTTTGCAACCGAACTTAAAGAGGGGGAAGACAAATTATCTTCGCTTATGTTTTTCTCTGATATTCCATTTAAAATAGTTTTGCATTGTAAGATAAAGTTTTTTACAAAAAAAATATTTTTCATCGTACCAAGCACATTAATCAGTTCTTTTAATCGTTTTTTGTATTGAATCTAATTTAAAGAACATGCATGTAGAGTCGACGAATAGAAATTATCAGAGTACTATTTTCACTAAAAAGTTTGTTAACTCAATCTTAACCAAACAAGGCTCAACCCATTTTCTTTCTTCAGAGACCACTACTAGAAAAAAAGGTCTATAGCAACGCCACACATTGCGTTGCCATAGGATGCACAACCGTTGCGATACACGAACGGACCAAGCGTTGCTATAGGGATTTTGCAACGGTTACCTGACCGTTGCCGTAGGAGATTCTATTGCAACGGTTTTACTATGATCAATTATGGCGATTAGTAGTGAGTTATGGCAACGGTCTGAAACCGTCGCTATATGTGTATTGCAACGGCTGAGAACCGTTGCTATAGACATTACAACATTTGTTGATACTGTTTTATCTATTGAAACGGTTATTACAAGCTACTGCAACGGTTATAAAGAGCTACCACAACCGTTATAAGGAACTACTACAACGACTCTGGGAGCTATTAGCAGTTGTTATCGATCCGCTATCGCAACTGGATAAATATATAATACACTGAAATTAATATATAATGGATGAAATGAAAATATATTCATCAACAAAATCATAATCCAAAATATACAACTACGATTATCCATTTATAAAGCAAAATATACGATAAATAGTATTTAATAATCCAAGAGTTGGTATATATAAGTTTGCAAAATAGTTCAAAAATAAAAACATTCCTAAATTGTCTGAAGATTGTACAACAAATACTTTTAGGTAAGGTCTTCACTGCTTTCATCTCCCCCTTGATCATTTGGTTCACCTATAAATTCAACAAAAATAACAATAATCAAGGATAGGAAAAAGGAAAAATATTGCCTTATCAATACTACTATTATTGTACTATATATTAACAACTGTTAAAATAATATAAGTACTTAGACGACACAATAAAAGATGGAACTGAAAAATCTAAGTTATAAAAAAGAATTAGAAGTCTAAGTGTGCAAAATGTTACACTAAGCAATGAATAAGAGTGCACGGATAGCCAAAAACAAATCAAACCCTTCATCCTCTTCAACAATTACACAATCCGTTTATGCTCATGTCTGCTTCACAAAGTTTTATACAGTTATGCCGAATGCAGATCTTGAATATGGGAACATTTAGGAACATCAATATAGGAACATTTGCAAACAAGGAGTATAGTGTTTGGGAGAAATAAGATTCTCAACACTGATCAACTATAAACCAAATGTCATTGATAACTCATTTTTCTGGAAGTAGAGACTCAGCTTCCTCCAAAAACTGAACAATTTAAGGATATTTAATATTCCAAATGATCTATTACTTTAACAGGGGATCATCTTGTGCCTCCCAGGGAATATATCCCATGTCGTCAACCTTTATACCACAAAACGGTAGATCAGAATACTGAGTGCAGCAATTGCTCTCATTTACCATCATAGATGATGCAAAATTTTCTATTAAAGGGGTGTCAGCTTATAAATAGGCTATCTCTATTTATCTTACACTAAACTGATCAAGCTATTACATGTTCTGCCCACCTAAAAATTAATATGTAGCCTACATTTCAGTGTGATTTTGAATTCTTAATCTATGTGTAGGTGTACATGATAAAACATCAGTGTGTTTCTCAGAGTCCATATGACCACATGAATAGATTTGAAAACCATATATTGAAGTAAAATTGCTGACAAGTTTATGTGACTAAAACCAAAGTTGTGCATGTTTGTGGTGACTGCAATTTTATACCAATCAACGAATAAAAGTACAAAATTTTACAATGACTGCAATATTAAATGAAGCTATAAAGCAAGGTGTACATGAAATTAAATCTACCTAAGGAAAGAATAGAGTTGTAGCAGCTAATGCCAACGACATGACAAACGCCAAATAAAGCTAATGAATTAAATAGACCAACTTTTACCGAAGAAGAAAATTTATAACTGCACTGATCTAGATAACTAAACTACCTGATATTTGAACAAAATTGCATGACGCATAGACTATTTTAGTAAAATGCTACTTCTTACCATGCTTTTAATTCATTTCTGGAAAGACAAATGAAGGATTCATGTACAGCCGATACTAGTAAGAACTCAACTAGGTTCTTGTTTCACACAGTGAGTAGTCTGTTGTGTTATTTAACAACTACAAGTAATAGTGAAACATAAAGCATACAACATACAGCAGTTGCAAGCTCGTCACAAATAAAAGATAGGTTGAGAAGATTAGACAAAAAAGAGTTCTAACCTTGATTGCTACTACCAAAAGATGGTCTATTGATTCGTTGAATTGCTACTTGTTGTGCAGATGAAGCTTCTCCTGGTGAACGAGCACACATGGTTGCTAAAATATTAGGATCAATTGGCATTCCTGCACACTGAAACTGTTCAAAGATTCTTGTCGGCATCATTCTCTTTTGTTCCTCGTACTGTTCCTTCTGTTTCTCAAATTGTTCCTTTTGTTCCTCAAACATTCTTATCATCCTCTCTTCCATCTGTTTCACCAGATCGTTTGTAGCATTTGAAGAGGATTCAAAATGTCCCATTTTTTTCTTTCAAAGAAGCTCTTGTAACACCTCGTCCATACAATCTAAGACGTCCTGGATGTTCAGGTCCCATAACGGCTTCAAATGCATTAACAGAATTGCTACCATCTTCACTTTGTTGTGTTTCATTCTTTTCCATTTCAGCATACAATGCAATTTTAAAAAAAAAAATTCTAGTAAATAAAAAGTCAATAAGAACAAATAATTTATCTCAACAGAAAAGCAATTAGACAGAATTCGCACAATTTTACTAGTTCTATCTTCATTAGAGTCCTTGTATAACCTTCCAGGTTTTCTTGCTCTTGTAGCCACAAAGAATTCTCGAAGTGATTAAGGGTCGGAAGTGTTCTTCTCTTTTTCCTGGATATATTAAGAGTGGGTATCAAAAATATTCTTAAAAATGGCAACATGATCATATTTACTGATAAATAAGAGCCACACCAAATTATTGCGGATTACAGCAAAGCTTGTTTTGCCAACCGTGTGTGGATTCTTCAATTTTTTCGATTCTCAATATTGATCTCGGACATTTTCTGCAAGGAAATGAGTCAACAAGACCAGACAAAGAGGTGTTCAGTTAAGTTGTACCATAGGTCGGACAGTCCAGTTCATTATCCTATTTTTTTTATCTAAGTGCAGGCATGCCATTATTTGTAAGTAATAAGCTTTAGTTGGGTTGAATTTCAAAGTACTATTGTGTCTTCTCCAAGTAGCTTGAATTGTATCCAAAGTCCATTTTTTTGCAGTGTCAGGAATATCATATTTCTCCTACAAATAATTTTAATGGGTTAGTGCAAACAATATTAAATATATCCAACCAAAAATTGAATTGGAAATTTCAAACCTTGGTATATGCCCATAGATCATCTTTTGTGTCCATTTTCCTCCAATCAAATATATCAAGAGGGAAAAGAGTCGCATTCCTTGCCAATATGCCGAGAAAACTGCCCAATTCTGTCACAACATCTTTAGTAGGACCAACAGGTTGATTGTTCTCATTTACTAGGATCAATTTTTGCCCACGCCTTCCATGTACGCTTAGCATCTTTGTTTTACCTCTTTTCCTTTTTTGAGGAGAGGAGTCTACAATAATACAAACCATAGATAGCCATAAAATTACATGTTGTTCAACTTTATAATTGAAAAAGAATGCCAGTATTTATAGAAAATTCTTGCCTTGTAGTTCACGTTGTTCTTGTTCAGCAACAGTTGTAGAATTCAATTGAATTTGTTCCTCAAATGTTTCTGCTGCAGGGGTGGTTGTTTCTGTTTGTATACGGGCTACTACACCTGAATTTTGTGGTGCTAGTATCTGATGGTCTTCAGCTAAATTTGGCAGAAGCTCGTGCTCTTCACTCGACCGTGTACATCTACATGGAACATTTGTTTTCCTGGTCAGCGCTAACTTCTTTTGGTATGCCAAGGAGGCAAGTGTTCCAGCACTAATATAATGCTTGTTGAGTTTTTTATTTTTTTCTTTTGTTTCAGGCATTCTTCTTGTCTCGTGACTATGAAACTCTGTCAATATGATAAAAACAAAACAGTTAGAGCCAATCATCCAAAAGGTGGACCTCAAATGCCAAACTAGCAGCAGCAAACACAATCATAACTATAGATCTTCTCAGCAGTATTTTAAGTTTTGTTAAAACTGAAACAGAAAAGTCATGCAGGATGTCTGAAAGACCCAATCTAACATTACGAGGATCTCGAGAGAAGTCCTTGTGCAACAAATCAAAATCCTTCCAAGCTTCCCCATCAGTAGGATGTCTTAAATTCCCATCATTGGGTCGTTCAGTAGCATGCCATCTCATAGCTGCAGCTGTTTCAGAGCACATAAATATCCTCTGAAGCCTAGGCTTTAAGGGAAAGTACCTTAGAACCTTTGTAGGGATTTTGGAGCTTGTATTAGTCAAGCCATCAACAACATTCTTCCATCTAGAAGTTCCACACACATAGCAATTATCATTCTCCGCATTTTCATTCTAAAAAAACCATGCAATCATTAGGGCACGCATGTATCTTTTCAAAATTAAGACCCAAATCTTGTATCATATTTTTTGCCTCGGGTAGCTGAGAAAATGAAAATGCCTCTTTCAACAAGTCTAACAAGTCTGAAAAATCCACATTACTCAACCCATGAATGCATTTCAATAAGTACAATCGAATGGTGAAACTCAGTTTTAAAAAATTCTCACACCCCGAATATAACTCTTGTTTTCCTTCCTCCACTAATTTAAAAAATCTCTTTCGAATGGTGAAACTCAGTTTTAAAAAATTCTCACACCCCGGATATAACTCTTGTTTTCCNTTTGAAAAAGCCACATTACTCAACCCATGAATGCATTTGAATAAGAACAATCAAATGGTGAAACTCAATTTAGAAAAATTCTCACACCCTAGATATAACTCTTCTTTTCCTTCACCCACTAATTTAAAAAATCTCTTTGCATCTTCAGATGGTCCCTCTCTCACTCCTTCTTCATGCCTCATGTCACCCTCAACATTTCTAAAAGTATCATGAAGTAGTCCATCAATATCATCATCAATGTTGGAACCTTCATCATCATTGCATAGATGTGGATTATTTCTCGAGAAAAGTTTTTCCCCATGAAAAATCCATTTGGTGTATCCTTAAATAAACCCATAAGCAACCAAGTGATCCTCTGCCACATTTCTATAATGCCAATAAAATTTTATGCTTTTTCTCTTTTGTATATTTGTCAGACATTTAGGTTTTCTTTTTGTTTTCCCTTCGAGGCGTTTTGTCCTACGTCATGAATAGGGAAAATAAGGAGGGAAAGCAAAACCGACTTAGTTGCCCTTTTTTTTCAGGAACCGTTGCCAAAGATGCATCTATTGCAGCGGTTTAGGAAACTGTCACGACACATAAATCTACCGCAATGGTTCTTGTCGTAATGCAACGGCTAATTCTATTAACTATCTTAATATGTCCGAGAGGATAATGTGACGGTTGTAACCGTTGCCATAAATATTCTATTGCAACGTTTGCGTAACCGTTGCTATATAACTGCTGCAATAGGTCTATTTTCTAGTTGGTCGACCAACCCACAACCTACAAAGTTAGGTGTCATTAGAAATTTATACATGTTTTGTTTTAAAATTAGTTTGATTTGATTTTTTGTTTTTGAAAACAATGAGTATTAGAATTTTGTTCTAGAAGATTTGGTTTTTAAAAATAAGAAGTTAAATATCTGAAAATATTTTAAAGCATCAATTGTCTGGAAACATACACTTGATAATCAAGAAATTTAAAATTTAAAACTGATTTAAATAAAATAAAAATATGGTTTAAAGAAATAAGTGGTTATTTTGAGATTGAACATGCCTATAAGTAATTCATTTTCGCTTTCCTAGTTTAATCATTTTAAGTTAGTTTTCTAATTATAATTTCAAGGTAGAGGTAAGGTTTGCGTACACACTACTTTCTCCAGACCCTACTCGTGAAATTATATTAGGTTTGTTGTTGTTGTTGTTTCTAATTATAATATAAATTATTGACCAAATAATTATTAATACATTATAATTACGATTAAAAATAGTCTTATACTACATTTAATGCTTGTTTGGTGTTATGTCATACACATAAAAGATTATTAGTTAGAAGTCACATAAGGTTTGGACAATATCACAATCATATAAGATAGGATTTGGCATGTCAATGAAACTTAGCCTTTCATCCTCAGATAAGTTTAAGTTATACGCAATAGGGCAAAGGTCAAAATATATCCTTATACTATACGAAATTGAGCATATTTGCCTTTCATTAATATTTTAGCTCAAATATGCTTTTACCGTCACATAGTTGGTCCATATATGCCCTTAGAGTTACACAGTTGACTCATATATGCCTTTTTCGAAACGAAATTCACCCAAACTAATTAGCTCTTTCGTTAATTGTATTAAAGTGTATTACAAACACTATTTTCTTTTTATTAGTTTTTTTTTTCTTTACCTTTCTATTTTCTTTCTTCTTTTTTCTTTTCTTCTCTTTTTTTTTTCCTTTTTCTTTCTCCCTTGTCCGTTTCCTCCATTACTTATGTCTTCTCCATTTTCGTCACCAATTTCACTTGACAAAACTCATGAATTCCAATTACTAAAAAAATTTTCTCATAAGGTAATCAAGTTTCAATTTCATTGGCCCTCTAAATAAACGAAATTAAATTGTCCAAAAATTATAGTTTAAACTTTAAAATAATAAAAATATCTCAACCTTTAACAATACTCAAAAGATCAAAATATTTAAATTGTTTCCACAAATATAATTTAAGGATTAAAAACTTAGAGTTCAAGTTGTAGTGTTATAAATTTGAGTTGTTAGTCTTTTTTCATCTTTTTTCAGGTGGACATTTTCAATATTTTTTTTATTAACTATGTAAATTAGGGGTGTACATGGAACGGGTTGGTTCGGTTTTTATCAAAACCAAATCAAACCAATTATATCGGTTTGGATTGTTGGATTTTGTTGGATTTTTCGAGTTTTTTATTACATAAATATTATTTCAATCTTACTTTGTTAAATTTTTTATAACTAAATATATGTTCAGTAAAAATTAAAAAATTGACAAACATATGATCTATAGAAATATTATTATGGGAGAATTTTCTTAGTAATTAGAATTCATGAGTTTTGTCAAGTGAAATTGGTGACGAAAATGGAGAGGACATCAGTAATGGAGGAAATCGGATAAGGGAGAAAGAAAAAGGAAAAAAAAAAGAGAGAAGAAAAGAAAAAAGAAGAAAGAAAAGAGAAAGGTAAAAAAAAGTACTAATAAAAAGGAAATAGTGTTTGTAATACACTTTAATACAATTAACGAAAGAGCTAATTAGTTTAGGTGAATTCCGTTTCGAAAAGGGCATATATGGGTCAATTGTGTAACTCTAAAGGCATATATGGACCAATTATGTGACGGTAATGGCATATTTGAGCAAAAGTATTAACGAATGGCAAATGTGCTCAATTTCGTATAGTACAAGGGCATATTTGGACCTTTTCCGTGTGCAATATTAATAGTATAAATATTGTTTACACTTACCGTTCAAATTAATATGTAATAGCATATTAATTATTATTTTATTAGATTATTAGTATTTATCGTTGGAATTACTTATAAATATTTTATCCCATCAATACGAAGAACTTAATTAGTTCCTTAAGATATATAGTGTTTTTGTGTCAATAATGTTTTTGCCTTTGATTCTTTCATTTTAAATTAATCAGAAAAACATATTATGCTATATTAGCGAAACCTTATTGGAAACAAAATTCGTTAGTATTTCAAAAAGAATTTCTCCATAAATATTATTTAGTATATTAGAAAAACTAAATAAATTTCTTATAATATTTCGTAAGGTACACGACTTAAATCAACCACGAAAAAAGACTTTATTTCCTTATGCACATCTTTCTAAGTTATTAAACATTCTTCATGTTGTTACCCTCCTCTTTAATAAACTTAACAGCAAATAAGCAGTTTATTTTTACTTCATTGTCTATATATTCAGTATAAAAGAAGTACATGTACTCATTTTTTTCATATTTTTTTACCCGAATAAATCACACTTACGATGAAAATAATTATTTTTTATTAAAACCTATTCATTTTTTTTTAAGTTACATTTTAAAAGTTTGTCCGTAGCTATGATTTTGATTTTTCCTTTGGCAGGTGAAAGGTCGAGGGTCTAACGAAAATAACTTCCCTACTCCCTTGGGTAGGGGTAAAGTTTGTGTACACACTACTTTTTCAAACCCTACTAGTAAAATTTTATTGGATCGTCGTTATTGCTGTCGTCATCGTCTTTGGCAGGTGGAAGATATTTTCCATTTAAAATCGAGGAGGGGCCAAATATGAAGGGGGGAAAGGAAGGACGAATTTTCGAGCTGTCAATTAAAAGAAAATGACCAATTGATAAGTACCAAACTAAAGCTTCCTTTTTTTGGAGCCCACAACTGTTTTTATTTCTTCAATTTTCTTTATCTGTCAACTCTTCGTTACGAGGAAATTATTATTCCTTCCCATGAAATTGACATTCAGAACATGAAATTCTTGCAAATAATATATTTTAAGTGAGTACTCCCTCCGTTCCAATTTATGTAAATATGTTTGACTGGGCACGGAATTTAAGAAAAAAACAAAGAATTTTGGAATTTGTGGTCCTAAACAAGTCAGAATATTTGTATGACTATAATTCTGTTGAAACTTGTAGTGGTAAACATGCCAGAGTATTTGTATAGTTAGTAAAGCTTCTCGTTAATCGTAGAATTTAAAGTTTAAACTAAATTATTTTTAAATTTATAAATAGGTCATTGTTTTTGGAACATACTAAAAATGAAATAGGTTCATATAAACTGGAGCAGATAGAGTATTTATTTCAAAAAACCAACAATGATTTGCATAATTATTCAAAACATAAGTTATTTTGGGGTTTTTCCTTTTTCTTTTTTGGCAAATGACATGCTCAGCCTATATAAAAATTAAAAATGAAACTCACTCAATAAGAAGACAATGTTAACATATAATTGAGTAAATAAAAATTTATCATCTCTAATAACTTAACCTTATAAATGAAATGACCACAAAATTCAAGAAACTTTCACTATCCGTTGTGTAAACGAAAATAAGTTAAACAATAAAATTATTCAAAGATTGGACAGATTTTAATTATTGTGGCTAATATATGCTTTAATCGCCGACAGTCCCCACCATAATTAATAAAACGTATTAAGGTATCATTGTGCCAAATCTTATAAATTGCTTCAATCATTCCAATTCAAAAAAAAACTAAAGAGATGTTGAAATTAACGTGAGATAAGCTAATCATTCAATTCTTTTACCCTTTATAGAGGCCAAAAGATGGCCTTTTTTTTTTGCAAAAAGGGTAGTGTCCAAAAACCAAGAATAACACATTTATAATTAGACATCAATGATTCAATGGGCAAATTGATGAATTAGAAAATAAAATATCTTCCCAAAAATGATGCATGTCTATGACTTATTGACTAATAATGACTATGATGACATTTGGGAGGGCCTTCTTCCCCCACCCCATCCTCTTTTTAAAAAGGAAAATAATAAAAATTGCCCTTATACTATTTAAAATTGATAAATTTTATTACAATAATAAATTCAGTGCAATCCAATACGTGGGTCTAAAAAATTGATCAATTTTATTCTTAATTAAATAGTATTACCTCATCATTGTGTAATATTCTTTTTTTCACTCTTGACCCTGAATGGAGCTCCAGCTTAAGGGTTTTTTCAAACAAAAGTAGAAGTTAAGGGTTGAAATTACACCCTTTTAATTTACCCATTTTACGTTGAAACTCAGTTAATAACAAGAATAAATACGAGACTACTTGTTAGTGACGGATAGAGTTGAGTAATTCCATATAATATGCAAAGTAAATTTAAATCTTTTCCCTTAAGGGATCATTTGGTTAAGAAGCAAGTTATACTAGAATTATAATATGTGAATTATAATAGGTGAGTTAAATAAAATATGATTAGTTAGTAGATATATATTTTTAAATAGAAATTTGGTTCAATAGATTAAAATGAGATATACAGTATATAATATAAAATATGGGTTCAATTTCACAATAGATAAAGTAGAATAACTATTAGTATTATAAATTTTAATGTTGATTTTCTTAAAAGGACTATGCAAAAAGAGTTATGGAGAAGTATATTTATGTCATTTGATTATTTATTCTGGGATAGCTAATTCTGAGATTATTTACTCACATTGAATGTGGTATAAAAATAATTTCAAAATTTTGATATAATTCATCCTGAAATTGTTTATAACAAAAACTGAAATTCGAACAAACACGAGATTAAATAAAATAATGGAAAAATGACATTGTATAGCTACTGTAAAAATAATAGTCAAAATATATATATATATATATATAATTTGTATATTTTTTTTTGTATATATATATATACACATTCTATATCTTATATACAAAAATTATATAAATTTTATAAAAAATTTCGACTACCAAATATAAATAATTTCTTACGCGGGCTAAAAGTAATAATACCCCTTAAATAATCCCACATTCTAACCCGGAATATTTTTCTTTATTTCATGAACCAAACGACCTCTAAATAAATGCTATCACATGATATATAACATGTGATCAGAAGACAAAGTCAAATGTATATAACTGAAGTAAATGCATGTCAAAAACCGCACTGATTCTTCCTTACTTAACTGCAAGATTTTAACAAAACAAATTGGATATTTCCATTGATACAAAGCTCTTTAACTTGTTCTATTGGAGAATCTAAAAACTTTATGTAACAGGGTGTTTTACTGGTATATTCTTAGCTCACCTCTCTTGTCTTTCTCTGCTTCTCTCTCTCTCTTAGCTCATTTTTCACGTTTTGATATTCTTTCTTCTTGTTTTTTCCCCTCTAATAGATATGTATACATGACACTTTTGTGCAATTATTCAGCAGGAAGAAGCATTTTCAAGAAAAAAAATCATCATCCAATTGTTAGAGGTATTCTATATTTTTAACCAGTTCTCAATTTTTGATTTTTTTTTTTAATTTTGGCCCTTGCATGTGTTGTTTTTTATGTGCAGCTATCAGTCTTTTCCTTGTTTTGATATCTTGGGGTTCAGTTTTTGTAAGAGGATTTCCTGCTGGATTGATATGCCTATCACTGCTCCTAGTAGATGCCAAAATTTTCATTTTTTTCCTGGGCTTAAGTAACTGAATTTCAAGAATTCTTCAGGNGGGGCTTTTAAATCTTATTTTTAAAAATTTGAGCACCTCTGTTTGTTTGAGAAGTTCCAAAAATGAAGTTTGCAAAAAAAAAATTCAGTTTTTGCTGCAAAGCAACTCTGTTTTTTTGAGTGGTTTTTGCGGAAAAAGTTAGGAGTAACTTTATTTGACCATCAAGCTTATGGTGGAGTGTTAAGTACTCCTTCATCCTTGACCAGAGGTTTCGGGTTCGAGTCCTAAGTATGAAATCACCTTTGTTAGGAAGCACTTTATACCCCAATGTGGGACTTCCCGCGCGAATTCGGATTTAGTCGGGCTCCAATATGTGTAGCGGATACCAGGTGGAAAATCAAAAAAAAATGAAAATGTGCAAACTCAATTCTTGAGTTTTTGAAAGATTTGACAAATTGAGTTTGAGAATCTTCGTCCAAAGGTAACTTTTTTTTCAAAAAAAGGTTTAAACAAATCCAACTCCGACCTACTTGGGATTGAGGCATAATAGTTGTTGTTGAAATTCAAACAAACATATTTTGGAAAAACTCAAAACCGAGTTTGCAAAATCACATTATGCTAAAAAAAAACTCAAACAAATGGTCATGTTTCATTCGTTTATGTTCTTATTTGAGTTATGATGTGCTTAGAAATTGATTGGAGTTTGGAGAGGTCGGTTAGCCATTAAATGAAAATATATTGGTTGTTAAAAATGTAGATTCCAAAGGGCTATTTGAATTATTAAGTATCTTGATTCAATGAACACGAAGTATGGAGTTGGTTTTCTTTCCCGTACCGGTGATTTTAGTGTTAATATAGTATCTTTTATTTCCTAGATTGTTGTCACTACCTATTGTATGATTGCTATCTTTCGCTTCGATCTTCTTAATATCTAGTTGTTGTTATCGCTTGTTGCCACTGCTTCTTTTCATCTTTTCTTTAGCCGAGGGTCTAGTGGAAACAACCTCTCTGCCCTCCCAGGGTAGGGGTAAGATTTGCATACACCTTACCCTCCCCATACCCCACTTGTGGGAATACACTGAGTTTTTTGTTGTTGCTATTGTTGGTTTATTCTGGTTAAAGGTCTGTATGCTAGTGTAGTTATATGCTAACATGAAATAAGAGAAAAATTATGTAGTATTAGAATGAAATGGACATGATTAGAGTGAAAAGAATACAATGGATTCATATAGTTGATCCTAAATAATTTGGAATTTAGGCGACAAGTCAAGTATAGCACCCTTCCAACCAACAGATTGAAAGAGTTTTTTGAGTCAGAAAGGAAGCAATTTAGGTAAAGGCCACTGCAACACTCTTGGTAGGGGGTTTCGAGGGAAGGTGTTTACAAATTAGAAGTTTTTTAGATCGAGGCATTAGTTTATTGATTGAAGGAATTAGGTCCTCAATATTGTATAGTTAGGCTTTGTAAAATGTATCTGTCAGTAAGGGCAGTCGGGTGCACTAAGCTCCCGCTATGTCCGGGGTCCGAGTAAGGGCTGGACCACAAGAATCTATTGTACGCCGCCTTACCCTGCATTTATGCAAGAGGCTGTTTCCACGGCTCGAACCCGTGACCTCCTGGTCACATGGAAGCAACTTTACCAGTTACACCAAGGCTCCCCTTCCAAATGTATCTGTCAATGGCCAATGGAATTGCTCTGAATATACCTCTATGGATCTACAGTGTGTTTTAGTTTGAACCATTTATGTGATCCTGTATGCATTTACAACGATTGCTTTCAAGACATGTAACCAATTTAACTAATTGTCGGTTCTTGAGAAGAAATGGAAGTGTTAGAAAATCAGTTCTACTCTTTCATTATGTACAATTCTGAGGACTAAAATCAATTTGAAAGCGAGTAGCTGGTGCCTGTTACATTATTACTTTGCCATTGTTGTTTTTGTTGTCATGCATAGAAAAATTGTTACAGTTTGATGGTTGTACATGCAGAAATAAGGCGGTCTTAAGTTGATAATGAATCACATGGAAGACAAGCAATTGAAGTTTAATCAACCTCTTCTCTCAGTTAGACGAATCTCTCCGGCAATGATTTCCCAGAGAGATGAGAAAAAGACAATTGACAATTCTTTTCGTGCTATGACACATCCTCCTCATTTCAAATCAGAACTGAAGTCGGGCCTAGTGGGGAAGCCGGGAACGGTACCTTTCCTCTGGGAAGATAGCCCCGGAAGACCTAAGGATGAGCGCGGACCACAAACTTGTTTCACCGAAAATCCTCCTACTATCCCAAAGCTTCCCCCTGGGTGGAAGTTGAGAGATAACCAGGATTTTGAAAAAGTTCTCGAAAGTACAAAGATTCAAACAGGAAATATTCTAAATGCAAAGCCGAGTTGCGACTATCTGGATGAAAATATAAAGAAGATTGAGAGTTTTGACAGCTCAAAAGAAATGACGGAGGATAAGGAAAATATTGAATCAGAAGATGGTGATGAAACATATTTGGATGCCCGGGATACACTTTCAAGAACTGAATCATCCTTCCTAAATTGTAATGTAAGTGGCTTAAGTGGATATGATGAGCCGAATGCAAAACCATTTAGAACGTCTTTAACGGATCTACGGGCTAAGGATTTGATGATGGGCCGGTTTCTACCAGCAGCTAAGGCCATGGCTTCAGACAAGACTTCGGAAACACCTTACTATGTTCGCAAGAAGCAACCACCTGTTCGGGATCAATCAAGACAGATAAAGACGGTATTAAATGGGGATAGACGGCCTCAATTGCGCTACGGACCTAGTTTTACACTTTATCATTCCCAAGCTCATGATAATGAAGAAGAAGAAAGTGATGATGACTGTTATGATAATGGAAATTTAGCTAATAAAGTTTGTGGACTGTTGCCTCGTTTTTGCTTGAAAAGTTCGTTTAGTCTTCTGAATCCTGTACCTGGAATGAGTGTTAGAACTCGAGTACCCGTGTCTCCTGTCAGTAGAACGCGAACTGCATCCTCGTCTACTGCTTCTTGTAGCGGAACAGAGAATGAGATCAATTCAACTTATGCTAATGATCCTTATGAGAATAAAGCAATCCTTGGAAGTACTACAGAAGCAAATAATCGCGAGGTCGAGTGCTTGGGCTTGCAGAAAAATACCTGCCAAAGTTTTCAAGAATTATTGTTTGATCAGAACAATAGCAGGGAAGTAGATCTGTCAACTCCTGTTGTAGAGAAAACTCTGTACATAGATATTGTGCATAAAATGGAATCTGTAGCTAAGATATCATGTTCTCCGGATAGAAAACCATCTAACTTACAACACGAGGACGTTGAGATACTTGAAAGGATAATAAAACAAAAACCATTTGTAGATTCTTCACTTGATTCGTCCGAGAAGTCCTCATTAAAGTCATATCTTCAAAGGAGAGTTGACTTCAGTCCACCACATTCAGCGGAAAATTTGAGCAATGGAAGGGAGACGAAAGCATTGACAGCTACCGGTCAAGCTCAAGACTGTTGCCAAGAGGCAATGACCTTAACAAAGCCTGAGATTGACGTTAGAGAAAAAAACAGAAAGCCAATTTTAAGAAGAGAAAAGGTGGAAAATTCATGCAAAGTGCACCCGGAGTTTCTTGTTCCACCACCTTTACCAAAATCTCCATCAGATTCATGGCTTTGCCGCACTTTGCCTTCGTTATCCACAAAGAATGCACCTTCACAGTCCTATATCGGGACAGGAATAAATACTAATAACCAGTCTTGTAAGCCACTATCTAGCGATCCCAAGTGGGAAACAATTGTTAAAATGACAAAGAAGCAACAGCACTTGTGAAATTCTGAGGTAAATTCTCTATTTCTTCCAATGTATAAGTTTATGTATTCTTCTCTTCATCTGATATATTATCTAAGTGTGTTCTAAAACAACAACGAACCCAGTGTAATCCCCCAAATAGGGGTCTAGGGAGGGTTGTGTGTACGCAACCTCACCCTTACCTTGTGCAGGTAGAGACGCTGATTATCTAAGCGTGTTCTCTTTTTCTTAATTTCTGTTCTTGGAATTTCACCAATCTATCAGGAACTCAGGGCCTTGATACATATACAAGAAGCTCAGTGGAAGATGTTAACGCATTTCTGTAGTCCTTTGATTGTTTCCCATGCTTTCTTGTGCAAATCAAATAGTACAATGGGGGTGAAGGTGAACAATAATTTATAGTTTGCTCTATAGATTTTACACTTCCTTTCTCAAGTTATAAAGGGCTTGTAACTGCCAACTCATATCCTGTAATTACACGATGGAATAAGAGTTCTGTTGTACAGTACAGGTAATCTTGAGATAGAAGTTCAACTTAATCCCTTGCATGGGTTGAGAGATTTTGTAGAGAAGTCACAACCTATAATTATAGTTTCTTGTTTATGTGATGGAGCGACGAAGAAGTAGTCTACTTCACAATTGCATAATTGAAGGAAATTTCCTGTTTCCGAATGAGAGGTAAATGTATCGGTATTGGACAAAAACCTATCATTTAAGTGGAGGAGTAGATAATCCGACTCATTATCCACTGAGTTTCGAACCGTGTGCCAACTAGCTCTAGATATTTGTTTGCTTTAACCCTGAAGAGCTAGCTTTGTAATCCAGTGATTCTTGAAATGAGATATAAGCAAGTACCATTAGCCTTCGACTCTTATAGTCAGTTAGTTGATAATTTCAGGGGATTTCTTAATGCAAGAAAAAAAGGAAGAGAAAGCATTACCTAGCTTTAGGAACCAAAACACAGGTCAAATCTGCTCTATTGGTTTTGATGTATTTTAGTATTTAAAATGTGTTCCTTTGATATACAAACAAGTAATGCAAAACTTAATAACGCAAAAAAACTGTCAAAAATGTTTGGTTTTGATGTTTTCACATTGTAAAGTGTTAATTTGTCAATTTAATTGTATAAATCCACGTATTACTAATATCCATGCGCCAAATGCTGTGAGAGAGCAACAAAACGACTTCATACCTACGAACTAAATTTCAGAGTATTTGCTCGACATCACTAATACAAGAACAACACAACAACTCTTTCACCAGAATTAAAACTAAACCAAACTTTGCTGTGCTGAAAAGTGAGGTTTCCCAATTGTCTGATTATCAGTTTAAAAGCAATAATTTAATGCGAGATCAGTAAAATAATGTTACGGTATATTGATATGTACATCAGAAATGCCCTATTCTATAGAGAACACCGGTTATTATTTTCACATTGTTGAGACATACTATAAATTCACCTCATCCCAAATTAACTACTCACTGCATTAAAAAAATGATTGATAAAACCAAAAATGAACCATCCTAAGGTTTGATAACACGACCCTTGTATTGCCCTCGACGAATAACAAAGTCATCAGGAGGTTGAAACTCTTCCAACCAAGTCACCTCTGAGAATATCTTCCCATCCACCTCGAGCTCACCTTAACGATGTAAAGCATTTAAAGTAAGATTTGTAATACAGTTGCATGTTCATATTCATAAAAAAGTTGGCACCAGAGTTATTACCTGATAGATCTCCTCGAGGAGACCTTCGGAAATAAGTGCAATGACGTCCATCATCGGAAGAGTAAGGTGGAGAAAGGATATCAAAAATAGCACAAGGGGTTATAGCTTTGAAACAATGAATATTGCCTCCATTCGTTGGATACAGAGTAGTTGTCCCGCATGGAGCAGTCATCTCACAATCTTTAAAAAGCTTAGCTGATCTTGTACCTGAAAACCATTTAAAACAGGTACCGAACATAGTAAATGCCAGCATAACCTAAGATCAAGATTTTGCATGACAATTGACCCCAATCAGTTCCAGAGAAGAAACTCCTTCCAGCCAAATGACATGGCCAGCTCTCTCCGTTAATAAATTATAGTTCCAAGACTCTAGACTTGAGTACTGAGTCTAAAGGAAATTCAACTTGTTCGTTTTTCCTTTCTGTGAGACAGATATTAACAGTCACCATTTGTCCAGGAATTAATATTCCATAAGCAATTTAGTTACATGCAGTGCAACCACACAGTTCACCTTTGTGCAAAACTATTGAGATACAAAATTCTGCAAGATACGCGAAGAGAACCCTTGGCCGTGCTAGTCTACTGAACTTAACTGTGATCATTTGTGCAATGAAATACAAATTCCGCACAGGATGTGAATTAAACCCTCGAATACGACATTTACTATAAAAAGAACCAATAACTCTTATTAAAGAACCATTACTACCCTAGTCTTTTTACAAGGACCTTTTGTTATCGAATTCATGATATAGAGCATCACCGGGCCAAAACGAAACCACCAAAAACAAAATGTTTTTTAAGTATCTTAAACACACTGAAACACAATCTATTGCCAATTGGAGTAGTAAGAAAGAAAGGTCAGTCAAAGAACGCCAAGTCCAAGCGAAATAGAGAAAAGAATGCCTGCCAACTAATCAAATTCCAGAGAATAAATCCAAATGTAACTTCAAATTAACCGAACATCAGAACATCACATAAGACAACTCCACCTTCTGCAATGAAATGATATTTCAAAAAAGAGCATATCATCTCCATCAAGAAAGTCCTAAAAATCTTTCGTGCAAAACATCCACTTCAAATAGCACATACCTTCGGGTAGAACTGAAGGCCCCGGACTATCGATCCAATCATAGGCTTTCACATGTAAGGAACCATATATAAGCTTACTTAAAACGGTCATCCCCGGGTGGTTATGTAGAGGAATGATTGAAGAAGGTGGCATGCAGAATATTCCCATCTGTAAGAACATTCAACAGGCTAGCGGATCTCAATTATGCAGTTTTCATATCTCTCCTTATAGCACAACATCATCAATCTAATGGAATAAATAAAAAAAATCTAAAAGTACGGCAACACTTACAGTGAAGCTCTCACATTCATGTATGTGCAGGTATTTGATTGGCAGGATCGATCGTAGACCCCCATTATGCTCGCGCATGGTACCTTTCCAACTCCTGACAAGTTGTGCCTCCTGCTCAAGACCTACATCAGAAGGCTTGATTTTGTCTGAAACAAAATGAACAGCCGACATACCAATTACATGAGAATTTCAAGAATAGAGCAATATAAATCTGGGGTATCAGGCAAAGGATTCAACAAATATCTGACACTGCACCTCATAGTCTCAACGGATAGTAGTCATACACATGAGAATATAGAAACTAAGGAATTAAGTCTCCAAAAAAATTACTTAAAACTGCGAATTTTGCAATTCTATGCGATATCTGACAAAAGAATGATAATACATTAAAATGCTTCAGGAATGAACAGATTCTTCATGAAACCCGCATCAAACCAAATTGACTTGGCTCAGGTTGCAGATTGGAGGAGGAGGACATTTACTTCCTAAATTTAGCATCCTTACAGAAAAGGAAAAGTTTTATACAGCATCATGGACCTTAATCCCTTCATTTCTTAACACTACTCCCCAATCCCAACTTCCTTATTTTCTCTATATAACTTAACTAATAGATCCAGAAAAACAGCTTTGTTCCTTCAATCACCTTCCAACTAGCATAGCAGCTTCATACGGAGAGCTGAGACCTTTTCATCTCTACCTTCTCAGCACCAATCTAACACCCAACCAACACCATCACAGAAAAGAAAAAAGAGCTCCTATACAACCTCCCAGGAGTTGCATGACATCAATGACAGCTTACAAAATTAGTAACTTCATGATAAATAAGAGATGGAATACATTTATAGACTAATTTAAGTTTTAAAATTGTTACTTTTCCTTCTTTCACACAAAGGAGAAATGAAATAGGGCTACTGGACTTTTTGGTGTCGGCCGCAAGTATTTGGTTCTTCATTTGTGCTTCAGTTGCTAAAAATGTATGTGTTGATTTTTCTATCTCATGTGCGCTATAACATCCATGAGTTCTTTGCAGTAAGAGACTGTTGACATCGAAGAGAGCTTAAAGGGATGTTATCCACCTGACATTGTTGCTAAGCAGGATATCTAATAAACAATCTGATCAATACTTATCCATAAAACAAACTATATGATTCAATTGTAGGAGCTGGACATTCATCTTCGGAAGTTTCTTCAGATTATCCTAATCAACCAGACCCTTCATTGGCCTCATTGTACCAGTGTTAAATGAGTTGGAACAGAGTTTTAAAAACTTGCTAAAACTAGATATCACACACATATCACACTTGGTAAACATGCATGATTCCACATAGGTCTGATCTAATTGTGTATCATTTTAGCCAACTCCATCACTCTGATACAGGAACAGACCAATCCTCTCCAACAACATTTTGGAGTCCCTATGATCATTCGATCATATCATAATGCATCCACCTCATTAAGTTTCCTTAAGAATCTCAGCTCCATTTCCCACCCACCCGACATACCTCATGTAATTTTGGTGAACTAAATTCAATTTCTTTAATAACATTGTCGTACTCGAGTTACTTTTTGCCTTTCTTCCACATTGCACTAACAATAATTAGAAGTCCTCCCTGTACTCACAAATCTTATAATTCCAACCATAGAACTATATGTAGTTTGTTCTCTAACCAACTAAGAGCCCACAAATTGTAAGGTGACTTGGAGATGCACAAGCAATCCATATGAAATCCTACAGCAATCATGTATGCCTATTGTTACCAAAATACTTTCTTGCCTCTTATGAAAGAAAATCTGTTAGAAAATATTTGACAAGCAAGCGTCATACTAGTCATTGTCATTCTGATAGCAACTAGCTAGTAGTTTCTCACATTTTTTTTTTTGATAAGGTAAATTGTATTAATCAAAAGAGAGAGAACTCCCGTGTACACAAAGTATACCAAAGACGTAGAGAATTTACATCAGTAACATGATTATCTACAAAAGACGCCCAATCTTCTATACAAGTAGGGGCTANAAGTATACCAAAGACGTAGAGAATTTACATCAGAACATGATTCTCTACAAAAGACGCCCAATTTTCTATACAAGTAGGGGCTAAGTGAGTGCACCAAAAAGCGATCAAAGATAAAAGACTATTCTTAAGATGTGAAAAAGGAGACTCAATGTCCTCAAAAGCTCTCCTATTTCTCTCCCCCCATACTACCCACATGAGAGCTAACGGAGCGAATTTCCACGCCTTTTGCTTTCTTCTTCTACGAAAACCGCCCCAGCTATATAACATTTCCTTTACAGTGCTTGGCATCACCCATTGGACACCAAAGAGATTCAGGATTGCCCTCCACAAAGCTGAGGACACAGGGCAATGCAACATAAGGTGATCAACTTCTACTCCTGAGCTTTTACACATGTAGCACCAACTAACAAGTGTAATTCCCCTCTTTCGGAGATTTTCAGCAGTCAAGATCACTCCCCTAGTAGTTTCTCACATAAAACCTAAAGGATCCTCAGGCTTTTGTTTCAATGATCTTTAGTATAATCATAGAACATCCTCCTCTCAAGCTCTCAATAGTCCAAATCTCATTGCGGATCCCACATACACACTTCCACATCTCTACATCATAAACCCAAATTTGATTTCTTTTTCTTTTCAAACCTCAATCAGCAACACCCAATTTCTTCTTTAGCTAGTGCTATAAAATCTAGAAACATTGGTGACATTTTCTTGAACAAAAAAGCGATTTGAAGAAAATCTGCAGAGACTTGTAAGCATTTGTAGAAATGCAACCTTATCCCTAAATCTGATGCATAATGAGTTCAGTGGGAGAAATTTTCCACTGTTTTAATTATTTAAACTATCATTCAAAAAGTTTTGCGACCTTAATTTTAGTGTTTAACGAGAGTAACTTGGCTTTATAATTATTTGTAAGCACCTCCATTCTAGAATAACAATAAACTTGGAGAATAAATTTTAAAAGGCCACCAGGGCTTTGGTCTAGTAGTTAGAGCATGGGATGTGTGGATTGGGCGCATTTCATAGGTTCGAACCTTGCCACAAACAAAAGCCTTGTACTTGAGTAAAGAAGGGTAGAGGGGCGACTCAATTATCCACCGAGTTTCAAACCGTGAGCCATTGGAACTCGGGGATTTCTCGAATATGAAAGAAAAAAGAGAGTATAAATTTTAGAAGGACCTGCTCATAGTCATCATATTTCAGTGCCCAAATAGCCCTATGTTTCTTTCTTTTCTCTAAATCATCAACCAGCCCAGTCCACACAAAAATCCTTTAAACTCAATTAATTTCCCATTTTAAGACACAAATCTCCAAAAAGTAGAGCCTCAAAGATGCCCGTGCAAATTCGTATAAGAATCAGAATTTCATTTAATCTCCACAGTTTCCTAATCAAGTCGTAAAAGAATCAGACTTCCATTTAAATCTCCGTGTTTAACTAATCAACAATAAGGAAGTTGGAATGACATTGAAATATCATGCGCTAAACTAAATGCAGACACTTAAGGTATAAAATTGAAAGGCATAATTGACCATGAAATATACGTAGTACGATCACAGAAACTGGAAGAGATTGGGAAAGATTTTGAAGGGGGTGGGAGATTTTTCGTATACTTCTTGTATACGAGGTTTCTCCCCACAACAACAACAACGACCCAGGGGTCTGGGGAGGGTAGTGTGTACGCAAACCTTACCCCTACCCCGAAGGAGTGGAGAGGCTGTTTCTGAAAGACCCTCGGCTCAAGAAGACGGAAAAGACGAGAAGAGAAGGGAAGGGACAATATATTAGTACCATCAAACAGAAGCCAAAGAAATAATAATAGCACCATAAGAACTAGAAAATAGTTAAAATGCAATGACAAAACCAGAAAATAAGCCCCGATGCTATGAACAACGGAAGGATAGTGGTTTCTCCCCACAACTTCAATAAAATTATTCTCATATCCAATAAAAGGGGGTGGGAGAGCAAGAAACTTTTCAAGAGGCAAGGAGCAAACATTATTTTCAACAGACAAGAACCTTCAAGCTCAAACAGTGCTAAAGTGAACATCATACAACTCCTTAGCTCAAAAGGCGCAGAGGCAGTTGGAAAGGCTTTTTAGGAAGAAGGCCCCTCACCCTCCTACGTTGTAAAAGGGAAGTGGAGATCTTAAATATGAAAATGATAATATCAAAGTTATTAGTCTCGGGATAAAGATATTTCCTTCACAATACTATGTGGCGGCAGCAGAGAGCTCGAGCATGAAAAATGTTTTGAATACTCATAGGATTCAACAGGTCATGTTAGTTTGCTTGAAAAGAAAAAAAAGATAGATAAACCCATTATTAATGAAAGAGGGCTAAACATATCATTTGCTCGGCAATGCTGCACTCATCTTCTGTAGGCATAGTACAACTAGCATAATATTTCATTTTCTTTGAATTTGTTCTCCAACAAGTTTTGTTTAGAGGGGACTAGTTTATACAAGCATATTTACACCCTAAGCGCAACAAGACAATAATTTTTTGTCCTTTGCCTGATACTATATTTCCCCATTTGCCCAGGCTGCAGACAGTAGCTAAAACCCCATATTTTCTAATGTATTACTACCAACAAACACCGGATTTATCAATTTGAGGAAGACCGACAGAAAATTAGTGTCCATGCCCAACCTCAAAATGGCATAAGAATAATCATTTACAAATGTTTTCAAAGAGAAACGTGCTACATCTATTTAGTGCAAAAGTAAGAGATTCTACTCAAATATAGAAATGATACATAATTGTACTCCAAATCCTAAACAAAAGATAAGGACCTAAAAAAAAAATTAAAAAAAAGGATCAATTTTTGTACTATTATGCATTCTCCAGATGTCAATGCAATACATTTCGTCGCAAAAAATAAATAAATAAATAAACATTTCCATATCAAAAGTTATACTACAGAACCCCCAAACAACCTTCACCAACATGTAGAAATAAATAGAGTAAACAGAAGAAAACACAAATGAATCAACTAAACCGCGTGGCTGATTGAAATCTATACATGTGGCCAACATTCAAGCAAAATTAAAAAAAGAGACTAAAATTCAGAACACCTGCCTAAGAGAGAACGAACTTTCTCAAGAGCATCTTCTGATATGGGTCCATCAGGAGAAAGTGATGCTATACAGGCATTATAAAGCTTTTGTACAGCTGGCATGTTTATCGAAGTGACCACCTTTACCCTGACCGCCTATGCAACCGAACTTATCTTATAGCTAACAACTTGAAGCTAACCCAAAAAATACTGTCTGAAGGGTCCTCTATTTCTCAGAAGACCCTTCACGCAAACAATCAGGCACAGGCTGGACTTCGAATGCAAACAAAGCCGATGATCATGTATCCACGTGGTGCTTAACAGATCCAGCTATCTATTATCATTGCCACCTACTAAACAGACAACAAAAAGACCGTTAAACTCAGCGCTGCAGAAAACCACAAAAATTTCAACATTGTATTTTGAACTTGAGAAGAAACTAATTAAATACCAAACTAAATTACCAAAAATAGAGCTTGAAGCCCTATTAATAGCAAAATATTTTTGACAAACCCAACATTCCATTTCCAATAAAAAAACAAGTTCATGTAAAGCTGATATTCCATGCTAACTTCACTAGTTAAAAATCCATACTTGTAAATGGATTAAAATTATATAGCCTAAAAATGTTAAAGTATATGCAGTATCAATGTAGTTTATCTGGTAAGAGGTTACTTACCTTGTTTTTCTAGTTACCAATAATAATTACTATAGACGCTTAGCACTAATTAGCTTTTAAGTAACCTGACTTTTAAAACCGCCAAAAGCCCCAAGGGGCCGTTTGGTTTGTGAGCAGGTCACTCTGATTATAATGTGGGGATTATATAATACGGGGATTAAATTATGATGGGATTATTTAGTAATATACTTTTATTAGCAAATTATCAAACAACTGAAAACTAGAAAAGAATAAAAAGAAATTGAAGTAGCTCTGAAATTGAGTACTATAGGAACTAGGAAGAAATTCCCAAACAGAAGTGATGTGTCAATTGAAGAACTCAATGGAAGAAAAAAAAATACTCATTCAGCAATTAATGAACCGGAAACGAAACGAGGATATTATTATATAGTTGTAAAAAAGAACGAAACACATAAATATAACCTTATCATGTCACCTAAAGGATATTTACAGTTAAGTCTCCATAAAAAGTGGGATTTGTAATCCTGAAAAATAAGACAGATTACCTACTACAACATGTAAAAGTGACCTGAATGACGATGTATATAACTTAAACTCTGCATACAATCAATTACGCCTCATTTTCAGAAGATTGATCTAGGACTGTTTTCACTATAGCCGTCTATTTTACTTATTTACCTTATGCTTTGAAAAAATCTATTTATGCGGAGCTTGTAATAATTATCGCGTGAAGAAAATGAAATTGCAGTAACGATTGTTAGTGGAAACAGGGAATCAAAAGCGGAGAAAATCATACCTTGAAGATGAAATACAGAGAGATCGCGCGGAGGTAAGAGGAGAAAGGGAGAGAGAACGATTGCGTTTTCTCTGAGCCCTTTGAAGGTTTTGGAGATTTGGATTTTGTTGGAGTTATGGGCTATGGCGCTTGCTCTGATTGACCACCTGGAATTATTGCCCTAAATTTTGCTTGTAAGTCACATGAATATCATTTTTGTCTTTTTATTTCTCTTTCTATTTGTTAGTAGTAGTATAATATTATTATCTTGGAAAATTGAATGGATTAGCATTTGCAATTACTATAGAATAGATTGATTTGTGGGTGTATAATAGTGTAAACATCTTTTTTAGGTTAGCAAGAGTTACTGTATTGACTAACTCTCATTAATCTATAATATACTATATTAAAAACACGAACGGTCTTAACAAAATATCGTTCGTTTTTTTTAACCTTTTAAAATAAAGTTCACATCCGATAAAACAATAATTTAATTGTTTTTTCTACTATTTAAGAATAATTATTTAATTAATTTCCTACTATTTAGGGATAGTAATTTAATAATTTTCCTACTATATAAATTTTTGATTTTTCAATTCCAATTCTCACCGGGACAATTCGTTCACTGTCAACTCCATTTACCTTTAGGAGTATTAAATGTCTCATGTTAGGTTTAGGAGATTTTTTTTTGGTTTCCCAAAATTTTAAAACCAAAAGCAAATAAAAATAAGCAATTAATATTATTAGGTTTAGTATTCTTTTACTCCTATCACAATTATCGTAGGATACAAGTCTAATCTTTAATTTTCTAGAATTAATGTTACTTTAGGTTTAGTATTCTTTTACCATAACCGAATAAAATATCACCAATTAATGTTAGTTTAGGATTAGTATTCTTTTATCAAAATTATCTTAGGATTAAAGTTTCTAGAGTATTGAAATCAAAGCTATTTAAAATGAGGATGAAGTGAACACTTTTACAAAAAAAAGTCAATATGCCACATTCTTTACCATAAACTCATGATAGTATGGATATCTATAAAAAAAACTTATTTGTGATTGTCACTTTTAATTTTTATTTACAATATATCATGTATGATTATTAGTCTAAAATTATCTTCAGTTGTAAATTATAATATATGTTTTTCTATTGTGTATTATATAATAATTAATTTTTGCTTAAAGGTAACTATCTGTGATGGTAATCAAGATTCTCTTTTTTCTTTAATCTACTCTCTATGTTCCTCCTCTTTTTCTAATGCATTTTGTATCTGAATGAGCAGTGATGGTATCTTTTTTATTTTGAATAATATTTACTAGGTTGTCAGTTATAAAGATACGAATTTGTTATATTTATACTAAAATATCATTTTTTTTGATAGTTCCAGCTTTTTCATATTATATGTTAGATGAACAGTTGCATTCGAGTCACTCTAAAATAGTAATTATGATAATAATTTTGTTGTTCACTCTTATATAAGACGGATTTCAACCGACTTATTTTAGTTTAATGGTATTAGGTCTTATCGTTTAATATTATCATATATTCATTTTATTTTAAATCGATTGTATTTTGTTATGTGTGCGCATATATGTTTGTACAAAGGCTTTTGTAATATGAATTGAGACTTTATGTGTTATTTAAATATACTTTTAATTCAACGATTAACATGCACTACATCTTGGGTTACGTAACAAATAATGCAACGATATAAATTACGATGTGCACTACAACACTTTTACTGTATATAAGGTTATTCTTATTTATAAGTGAAAACAAATATTTTTATGATAATTATGAAGGCTATACACAATTGGTTTATTCTTTTTAATAAAATAAATAAATTTCACATTAAATACCATTACCGTTTAATTATATGTTTAATTTTAAAATTAACTAAAGTCTTAGCTATTGAAGCTTTTCTTATTTGAAATATGTAAAAACTCCTAAAAAAAAATGGTGAGAGGGGAAACCCGTAGCCGTTACAATCTCTGTCATAGCCTCCGCTCTTCGGGTGAGCACTCTGTGGTGAACACTTTGTGCGCACTATGTAAACCTCACATGTGTAATAGTCTGCAAACCACATGGGATGTAAACCGAACTAGGCAAGTCTTATGCGACATGCTCAACCCAAAAGGCATTGAGAGAGAATCAATCCCAGGTTCGTATGGATAAACGCCTTTCAAACCAACTGGACAACTCCGAAGGGTTAAACTCCTAATATTTAATAATTTAAAATCAAATAAGATTTTACATATTTTTTCTTGAGCTTTTATCGAACTTTGCTTTTGTTTTCTTTTCTGCCGTCTCTTTGTCGGTTGTGAAGGTCTACTCCTTTTCATTGTTTTGGTCAAGGTATTTATTTTAGTACTATTACGTATTATTAAAGCCAATCTACAATATAACTTACTTCATTTTAAACATAGTTTGTACAAATCATACAAACAACTAAATTGATAGAATAAAGTGGCGGACCTTTAAATTTTTATTTTAGCCCTCCTTTTAAAAAGAATCTTAGCCTTATTAGATTTTCTAATAAATGTGCAATAGATTATTAAGATTTCATTTAAATATTGTACTCCCGCATATTAATAAATAAATAAAATAATAATATAGAACAAATAATCATGAAATAAACTTTCACAAGAAAGGGTGGCATGGTGATAGAGCTTCATCACAATATCAAAGTGTTACTACTTATTTAATTACAATATTTTTCTTTATTAATCTAGCTAAATATGGTCAATATTTATTATTAAAAACTGCACTTTTTAATATTTATTTTTAAACTTAAATATTTAATAATAATAGTTATGTAAAAAAAATAATAATTTTGCGCGTGTACCCTAAGACTAGTCTTAATATAACCTTATACATATAGTAAATAACATACTCTTTGTAATTCTACGAGTGGACTATGGTGTTTGACGGTGGTGATGATTGTGGTTAAAGATAATGGTCATGCGTCATAGATGGCGGTGACTAGGGGTGGCAGCAACGATAATGGTGAATAGTAGTAAAAATGGATAATGTTGTGGTAAAATATCGCATTTACATAAATTTGTGAATGGATAGCATTTTCAGCCTTCATCATGTAAGGGTAAGGCATGTGTACGCACTATCATTCACATACCCCATACGTGGAAATATACTAGGTATTTGTTGTTGTTATTGTTGTTGTTGGATAGCATCTTCATAAGACTTTGTTATATGTCATAATCATTCAAATATGTTAGAACCCATTAAATGATTTGTGAAAGAATGATATAAATACACTTAACAAATGAGATATGAATAATAAGATTCAAACCTAAAAAATAAACCCATGTAATGGCTAAAATAGGAACAATTAAGATTTAAAGCTTCATTAAATCCAAACATATTAAGCCTTAGCCCACTAAACTAACACGTGATATAATTTAACTCTCAATCCTCGAAAGGTCATTTGTGAAAATGCCCCTAAAAAAAAGTGAATGAACAAATAGCAGAACCATAAGAGCATTCTCGAAAAAAATAGTTAGTTTAGCCACTTTTGGACCGGATGTTAGAGTTTAGCCATCTTTATATATGCACCGGCAAAGTAGCTAGTA